CCAAGATGTACCCTTGTGCACAATATGAGATCATTTGAACAAACTATGCCATGAATGTGGCCATAAGATTGATCATTTGGCTTCAAAGTCATGAATCTTCACCCATGATAGCTCATTTCTGAGAATACTTTTTTAAAATAATTACCGTATTACAAGTTTATTATTTTTCCTGGAAACTTGGTCACATATAATGACACAATGCGAAGGTTTTCCAATTTTTTGATTTTTTTTGAATTTTTTATGCCCGTTTCAAAATGCGGTCAAAACGGCTGGCTTGACCGTTCCTAGCTAGTGGTTGAATCTTGCAATTTTTTTGGTGTTTCTATGATTAAATAGATACTTATTTACCTAGAAATGATTTTTGGAAAAAATAAAGAGCAAACTATGAGGCAGCTGCAGTTCAAATTTGACCTGTTTCCAACTGAATCAACGACAGTTTGTCTTTTTCACCAGAGGTGGATCAAAACTTTTTTCACCCAACCATTTTGTCAATTGTGCATTATATATGGCCTAGTATTTTATAAAATTTATTTGGTCCATTTTTGCAACAATTATTTGGTAGTTCCTTCACAAAAAAACCTCCTTTTGGGCACTCGGAAAATGAAAAATGAATTTTCCGTGCAAAGAAAATTAAAACTTCCTTAGGCAACATTGTTTGGAATTTCAAGATGTACCCTTGTGCACAATATGAGATCATTTGAACAAACTATGCCATGAATGTGGCCATAAGATTGATCATTTGGCTTGAAAGTCATGAATCTTCAAGCATGATAGCTCATTTCTGAGAACACTTTTTTAAAATAATTACCGTATTACAAGTTTATTATTTTTCCTGGAAACTTGGTCACATATAATGACACAATGCGAAGGTTTTCCAATTTTTTGATTTTTTTTGAATTTTTTATGCCCGTTTCAAAATGCGGTCAAAACGGCTGGCTTGACCGTTCCTAGCTAGTGGTTGAATCTTGCATTTTTTTGGTGTTTCTATGATTAAATAGATACTTATTTACCTAGAAATGATTTTTGAAAAAAATAAAGAGCAAACTATGTGGCAGCTGCAGTTCAAATTTGACCCGTTTCCAACTAAATCGACAGCAGTTTGTCTTTTTCACCAGAGGTGGATCAAAACTTTTTTCACCCAACCATTTTGTCAATTGTGCATTATATATGGCCTAGTATTTTATAAAATTTATTTGGTCCAATTTTGCAACAATTATTTGATAGGTCCTTCACAAAAAAAACCCATTTTGGGCACTCGGAAAATGAAAAATGAACTTTTCATGCAAAGAAAATGAAAAATTCCGTAGTCAACATTGTTTCTCATTTAAGATACAAACTTGTGCACAATGTGAGACCATTTTTTTGATTTTTTTCATGTGTAAAAGTAGAAGAAAAACAAAAGAAAAAACACAATTATATGTGCTCTATTCTTATTGGTTGGTTTGGTTGTCACACGGATCGATGACATGGCCGCCCATCCATTCGTCCAACTCTCCACCTCTCCATCTAGCCATCCATCCGCAGCCCAAACCCTAACCCGCACCCGTCCACCTCTCCTCCCTCAGCTCCTCGCCGCCGCAACCTCATCCCAAATCCCCCTCTCCCCTCTGCCCGACCTTCCTCTCTCTTCCATCCCAACCCCGCCGTCGGCCTCCCCCATACCCACCGCCGACGACCTCCTCATCGCCCCCAGCACCGGCCATCCTCCCTTCCACCACCCCTCCTGTCTGAGTCGCCCCCTCGCGACCAAATCTCGCGAGCCAACTCCCCTCCCCTCCCCGCACCAACACGCGCGCGATCCAGACGGAGATGGACGCCGCCGCCGCTGTCGCCCCCATCCCCACCATCGACGGGCACCACCTCCTCTCCTCGAGGCCCAGTTCGAGAAGGTGGTGGTGCACCCGCTAGTGCTGCTCAGCATCGTCGACCACTACAACCGCGTCGCCCTCGACACCAGGAAGTGCGTCGTCGGCGTGCTCCTGGGCCGATCCCGACGATCTGCTGCTCCCAGCACACCACCGCGGCCCCGTCACCTCCGCTCCATCCTCCCCTCAGAACAGATCCGGCACGCATCGACCAGATCGACCGCGCCCTCCCTCCGAGCCCCGGCTATGCCGCAGATCGAGCATGGCAGCCATGGCGTCGTAGACGGCGGGCTCAGGTGCGTCCCTCCACTCAATCTCCTCCCCCTCCTCCTCCTCACAACCCTCCCTCACTTCCTCACATCGTGTTCTCTCCCTCCCAGATCCAGGACGTCGTCCTCGCTCGAGCACCGGGACACCATGGGCGGGGTGCCCCTTGGAGCCGGCGCAGGCTAGGGAGAGACACCATGGGCGGGATGCCCCTCGTCCGCACCTTCCCTGCCCTGCTCAGGTTTTCTTCCCTCGAATTCTCCCCTGCATCCGCAATCGATCTGATTAGTTCACCATGCAATTTTGAAGTTCATCCCATTGCGAATCCATGCCATTCCGTTAATAGTAGCCTAGTAGTAGGATGCTTGTGTAGTTTTTTCAGAGTTCTTGATCCCTGAACCATGATGTTTGTGTGTTTGTGTCGGCGCTATTGATCTGAATGCTGAAATTATTGATCTAAATGCTGAAACATTATGCTCAAACGGAAGATAGATCTTGCTGATCTGAATGATCAAGTAGCACAACTCACTGTTTGATGTCTTCCTTCGGTAGCACTCCGATTTATCGGCTTGAACTCGGACCAGTGCTCTGGTTTATGCCATGCCAGTGGTGCATCAAAGTGTTCTCCATTCAACTGACAGTTTAGCTGTTGCTAATTGGATCAATGTGGCATCTGCAGGACGCGGCCACGTGGCAAGGTTCGTTTGGTACAGCAACAGAACGAGGAGCTGCATCTTCAAGGTTAGCAGCAGCAGCAGCTACATGGATGCAAGGACGCCACCATGGATGAAAGAGCAGCTCAATTTGGTAGCCCCCCTCTCTCTGACGCAATATTTTGATGTTTCATGTTCAGTACACACCTTGCTCCTATTGCTGAAATGTAAACTTCTTTCTATCAAAAACTGGCAAGCAGTACTTCTTGTTCCATTGGCTTTCACCATGTTGGCCAATAGAGCTTGGTTGAATCTTTTGTGTCCAGGATTCAAGCATTATTTTTCTGGGTCAGGAATAGGTTACAAATTGTGCAATCTTAATCATCATGTGTTGGTCTGATGGAAGGCTGGTGATAGTCTGTTTACAATTCTGTTAGCTAGTGTTCGTTTACTGCTGGCACTCAGCTTAGCTGTTAGGTTGTTCTTTGTCAGTTTTTACTCAAAAAGAGGAGTTGAAGATGTGCTCCCATTGCAGCCTCTAACCCAAATCAGTCATGTTGTCTGTTCATTTTTCTTTTTTGAGAAACATGTCATCTGTTCTTTGTTCTTACTACTTCTTTTAGTACTGCATACACTTTGTATGGTTGAAGCTTGGCTGCTGCTAAACATCAGTTCAAGCTTGTTATGTTGTCTTGAACATCTATGCTATAAGTTTTTCCTACTGTTATGCCTATTGTCAATTTCGCTTCACATTTTTAAGCAGCATGAATTGCATTACCGCGGTTCAAAAGAATTATAGCCAACTGTTCAGAATTGTTTTTGCGGGGAGCAAATCTGTATATGCAAAGTGTGTGTGTGTATCCAGTGAGCAAATCTGTAGTAATTACAGAGTATATTATCTTCTTTCTTTTATTGACAATTTTCTGCTCAGTTCTCTTTTGACATATAGTTTGTTCTCTTTGAATGTGCAGATGGTATGATGTGGTGGTTATCTTTTTTCGTTGCTGGAACCTGGATGTCATATGTTATGTGATTTGAGCCAAATGGCATATTGTAATCTTTTTATTGCTGGTTTTTATGTATGATGTCATGAAGATGTATGTTTGAAATGTTGCTTTGATATCAAAATTGTATTCCTATGTACATGCTGCTTTGACAGCAAAATTATGAAAATTTCTCAACAATATATATGTGCAAAATTGTATTCCTGTGTACTGTGCCTGAAAAGGAGCCAACTGATGATGACAACTGGGACCTGGGACCCATCTGACTAGTGGACCCTTCTTTTAGGAAAAAGAGAAAAACTAAATTCGTTTAGACAAAAAGGCCATAACCCAACAATAAAAAGGCTGTAATATTGGGCTTGGCCCATGAACCCAACCAAAAATTGACAAACAAAAAAAACACAAATAGGTTGAATTAATGAGCTCGGCCCATGTAAAACACCTAATTGGACCGGGTTGAATCTTGTGCCACATCAGCTTGCCACGCTGGATGCCTACGTGGCCTGAGGAGGTTGCTAGTGACCAAAACGCCACAGTAGGAATATTTTAGTCGTAAATGTCCACGACCTTCTCACAAAGAAGGTCGCTATAGTCAGTTAATGACCCTCAGCTTTTGACCTTCTCTTTTTGTCACAAAAAGGTCACAAATGAAAAACCATGACCTTTCAGTGACCAATAGTCAAGGTCACAAGTTGACATATTTCTTATAGTGGGGTTTCCGGGCGATTTCGCGCGGGACCCACTTGATTTTGTTGCCCATTCGCCGGTCATTTTTTGTTCGAGCGTAAAGGCAAGTTCCTCGCTCCTTGTTGTGCTTTGCCCTTACTTTTGGTCAAAAATAAGGCATATATTTCAACTGGTATACCCATTTCTGGTGTCATGCATGGACGGTCAACGAGACCAAAGCACAGCATTTGTTGGTGACGGGCCCTTCCTAATCCTCCTACCGGACGGATGATCTCAACCATGGACGGACACCTCACTACTTTTCCTGAAAAGAAACGGTTTAGAAAACAGATGACGGTTAGTTACGGTAGCTACACTGGTGCAGCTACCCTCTGATCCAGCACCACCAGCCTGACACGCCTCTGCAGTCTGCACGTATATATAATCGCACGCGGCCAACAGACGATGCATCCCGCCACAGCCACATCGATCCACGCTCTTGATCTTCCCTCCAAAAACACGCGAGTCGTGACTGAGATTGATCGATGGCCACCAAGCTGCTCGCGCTCGCCGTGTCCGCGGCCGTGCTGCTGGCCCTGGCCTTGCCGGCGCCGGCGTCGGGGCAGGCCGCGCCGGCGGCGCCGTCGTGCACGGCGTCGCTCGTCTCCAGCTTCGCGCCGTGCCTCAGCTACATCACCAACGGCAACAGCTCGTCGCCGACGGTGGGCTGCTGCCGGTCCCTGTCGGTACTGGTGAACGCCAGCACGGGCTGCGCGTGCCTCCTCCTCACCGGCAGCGTGCCGCTCGGCGGCGTTCCGATCAACCGGACGCTCGCCGTCACCCTGCCCAGGGCATGCAACTCCATGGCCGTCCCGCTTCAATGCAAAGGTACGTTCATCCTGCCCCATCGGACTGCTATAGTTTCGTGTGAGATGAGGTTTCCACTGACGATCGGAGTTGGCGATGAACTGCAGATGCGTCGGCGCAGCTCCCGGCTCCGGCTCCGGGCCCCGTCGCGGCCTCGGCCTCTCCCGCCATGCCCCCGCTGCGTAAGAAACTCAACTCGCCCCACCAACTTTCTCTTCTTATGTCGCTGTTGATTGCCACTGATGATTCTGTCAAATTTGCAGCCCCAGTGGCGCCCGAGTCGCCGCCGGCGGGAACCACCGTGGCGGTGCCACCAACGAGCCAGAGCCAGGGGCAGACGAGGCCGCAGGTGGCGCCCAGCTCTGCCTGGAGAGACGGTGCTCATGTGCCTGAGTTGTTCGCAGTGATCCTCGCAGTTGGAGCCATGCTGGTTTGAGCTGAGCTGGGCAAGAATTCAACGTTGCTGCTGCAATACGTGTTTATTATTATGTGTTTTCTGTGCTTGTTTGGTAGTAGGAGAGTGTACATTGGCTCTTTGTATGTATACACATTCTTTTGGTTGTGAATTGAAATAATAATATATGGATTTCTGATTATACTGTGGGTGCCTAAATACGGTAGAAATGTCGGAACAAAACAAAAAGATTGGTCTAAAAATGTGGGAACAAAACAAAAGATTGGTCTAAAAAAGAGTGTCGATTATACCAGGGGAAAGCGCGTCGTTTACACTCTTCAGAGACAAAGTAAGATTTGTCGAAAAAAATCTGTGACCAAGACGATGCTACTACTACTATTTTTCCTTCTCTAACAATGCCTGCTAATTAAGGAAACCCTAGCCGTCAATCTGACCTACGGATTTGTCTCTATGGTTCCTCGTCCTGAACGAGAACACGGCGCAGGTGTAAGCTCCGGTCATGGCTATGATCAACACTCCAGCATATGTGCACACCGTCGCCGCGCAGACGTAGAGGTATCTGTTCCCAGTGGGGGATGAAGTTCGTCAGATAACAGTAACAAACCAGATGTAAGCATAGGGAAACGATTTATATGCTGGAGCAGGTAAAACATGTATCCACAATAACCATCACAATTCACAAACAGTGAAAACATTCTGACGCCGGCCCTTCCATTGAGCGGTTAAATTGTGAAGTAACTAAACATTATGCTTGCAAAGATTCCATTGAGCACTTACTTTGGCGAGAATACGCTCCAGACAAACAAGTGGTTCCTCATGAGCAGCAGGACAATGGTGTATGAAGTCAGGGCAATAGAATTGATGAGCAGAGGGAGCAAGCAGGGAAGTGCGATCATTCTGTTCAAGACGCTGCTCCATTGCTGTGGAGTGGAGATATCAGTACTATCTTTCACCGACATATGAACCACCATCCCGAGGTATAGCAGCAGAGGCGACCCATACGTAATGATGAACATCAGCACCCCAGAAAGGACCGTGGAGTAGCTTGAAATGCCCTGTTAAAATTAGAGGGTTAAATCTGAAAGAAATTGAGAGAAGCAACACTTCTTCAGAGAGTTTTATGTTGAACTTACAATGAAAGCTCCAGCAACATCGATGCTGGCGAGGCTATTGGTGTTCCCAAGACCAAAGTGGCCGGTCATTCCCAAGAATTGCATCACAACAACCTACACCATGCATTGCCCAATTGTTAGCCAGTGAAAATAAGCACTTCCCATGATTCCATGAATCTGGAGAAAAGATACCATGGTGGTCGAACAGAGATTATAAAGAATATTTTAGTAAACTAACCTGTACCCATTGCCTATGCAATGATTCCTCCAGAGAAAAATAAATCACACTCGAGATTATTTGCAAGAGAATAAGCAAAACAGGGATTGCATTTATGGGTTGTTGCAGAAGCAATTGAAGAAGGCACCAGAACATTGTATATGTTACTCCAGTCAAGAACACTGAATGATTGAGGCCATGCGCCTTTTCAGGATTGGAGCCGGAGGAGGATATTGGTTCTGCTTCTTTAGAATGTGTTGGAAATATCCATGGAGATAAAAGAAAAGCACAAGTTACTGAAATACTTGCGATGACATAGAATATCTGAGCTATTGATGTCGTGCTATGGTTGATCGGTACCGAAGTATCGACCTGACTTTTCCAGATATGCAGCATAACTAAAAGCCCACACGAAAGGTGGCTCAGCCATAGCCCTATAACAAGCATTCTTCTTGTTCTCAGTAACATGAGTGAGACTGAATACAATACCACAACCACAAAAACTGAGATACTCTGCAGAGACTTCACAATAGAAGAGTCCGACTGATTCAATATCTTTGAAATGTCAGGAAAGTGAACCCAGTTAATCCCTCCTTGATACCAAGCTCTTAGAATTCTCCCAGCAACAAGAACAATAAGGACAGTATATAACTTGCATCCATCTTGCTGTCCTGGGGTTAGCTTATAGCTGGCAAGATAAGAGGAGTTATTTTTGTGAAATGTCTTTGTTTCCGATCTATGGACTGCAGTTGAGTTTGATCCTTTCAGCATCGATTGAACAGTCTTGATGAGAAATATTAAATAGAGAGTAGAAGTGAGAAAGTGCCATATATACTGCTCTTCTTCAACAAAAGAGCTTGAACCAAGGCTGGCAACATAGAGCAAAATCCCCATTAGAATGAAAACCTCATCAAGGTGCCAATGTTTATCCAAATCCAACTCAGAATGGTGTTCAGATTGAATTTGTGACTTCCCCTTAAATATGCAAGAGATAATCCCGGCAAGAGAAAAACATGAAATAATCATCAAGGAGATTGCAGAGACAAGCAAATAGAGTGGTTTCTGCAAATATAAACAGTGAAAGGAGATAAGTCATTCAGAATAAAGGCAACTGCAAAGTAGGGTATAAAATTATAACACTGCAAAGGTAGTAAGATTACATCGGTCGCTCTGTGAGACAACCACTCACTCGCATGTCTTAAGAAGCCAGAGTAGGAGTCCACAGCAGTCCCAAAGAGCCCAGCTGCTTCAACGGACCTGGAACAGCAGAGTTCTTTTAAACGTTGGTGGGTGATCATATTCATAAATTTTTAGGAACTTAGGACCATAAACTCACAGGAAATTAGAATCCCGATGAAGAAGTGAGGATCGATGAGAAGCAAAAGCCTTAGAAAGCAAACGGCACAACTTCTCCTCAATAGATTCAGGAAGCATATCAGCTCCAAAGTCATCCTTTGAATCAACACAATCTTCAGAGCGGAAAGCAGGTCTCTGTTCTTGTAACAATCTTAAGATTTGCCACGAGTTCAGTTCTAGGGTGCGCAGTTTTTGCTCATCTGAGACAAGATGCACACACCATTTCAGAGCTGATAGCTGAGAGTACTTAATATTGTAATTTGTTCACAATCACAATATTATGATGTAATTGAGAACGTAACAATAAGAAAAGGCATGCACTTATACATCCAAGAGGAACTTAAAACTATCAAAATCAATATTGTCTACAAGCATAAAACATCTACTTCTACTTCCAGATGCGCAACACATTTGAGAAAGAAGGTACAAATATTCACCTGTCAAAGAATTAAAAAGCTCCGGAAGCAAGACACCTATATTGTTTTTGGGAATCGGTATTCCAAAGAGAAGAGCTAGAGTTGGGGCAAGGTCAACCTGGCAAAAAAAAGGTCACTGGTCAGAGTTGCGTGTTGGCATCTTGAAACACTATCCAACAGATATTACTGCTTTCTTCAGCTTGATTGCCAAGGAAAGTTTTATACGAAAAAAATCAGACTGCCAAAATTCCTATCAAAACTCACAAGTATACCACAAACTGAACTAGAGCTTCGAAAGGATAAAGCTGAGAGAGGTATATATCATACTTGAAGTGCTTCTTTCTGTTCATAAGGTGAACAATATGAGCTCTCAACACTGTGTCCTATAAAAAGGGCAAGGGAGTCAGTTTCTTCGTAAGAAGATCCTCCATGATTACCAACTTCAGTCATTCCATGATCACTGACCACAATCTGAAATGTAGGGACAGAGCAAAAATCCTTATGAGAAATAGTGTAGAACCTTTATCTTTTCAGATGTGGCAGCTTGGCAATTCATGTTTTTTGGTGGATTATCTTGTTTTCACACCCACTAATTTTTGGTTGTACATAGACCCTATAGATCCTTACCTACAGTTCTATTTATGTTTAATTATCAAATATTCAGTTCTCCAGCGAAGTGTACACACTACTGAACTTAAAGTAACGGGAAAATATTGTATGTCCAAGCATTTTTAATGCAACTTGGAAGATTTGGATGCAAGATGCAAAATTGAGTTGCAACCCCTGCACGCATAGAAGTCATTAAATATCATAAGTGAGAAAGGCATCAGAAAGCAGAATTTGTTAAGACACACATCTGAGTAATCACTATTACTAATGGATTCTCGAAGCAATCTCCTGCAGATGTTGGAGTAAACTTCTACGCAACATTAAATCTATGCTACTAGAAAAGCAGATTTGTATTTTGTAGAAATGAAAGGATCGCATACCAAAAGTGTTCTGTGTGAATTATCCTGAATGCTCTTAACTGCAGCATGGATCCTTCTAATAACATCATCCATCTCCTTCAGCTTTGGGGTCATCAAATTGCTGTCATTTCAAACTTGAATTCAAACTACACATTGCTCAAACAAAAATACATGAAACTGATATGGAATATACCTCTGGCGGCCGCCTATATGGCCAACATGATCTAAACCTAAATAGTGAAGAATCTGAAAATGTCAAATAAAGGAATTTCTCAGTATCAGCCTAAAGGATTGTAGTTAACCTTATCAGACAAACAAAAAAACTAATGCAAGTAAAGAAAGTTAGACATCGACCATAACAAACATTAGCTGGGCACTTGGACTACATGGTTGGAATCCAGAGAATGAGATAGCATTATCTGTCACAAATGATAAAATAAGCGAACATGCACAGAAGCATCACTAAAAAGTAAAACTGTACCAGTGCATCCCAGTCTTTTGCAGCAAGTTCAGATTCCAGATGGCGGGAAACATTGAAATCAACCTCAACCGTATCTTTAACCTGCAATATAGTTACAAATCATTAAAGTAAGTTCAACACATAACGGACCACGCTATAAAGAACAAATAAACCACTGTTATGAGCACAAATTAAGCAGCAAATCAAATGATCAAGTGCCTAATATCCGAATATCTGTACGCAAAGGGAAAGTAGTCGATACACTCCTTAAAGAGTGTCATATGTTCAGCAGAGAAAAGTAGCCCGACAGATGGCAAGGAGATGCCAAGCACCTAAAATTTCAAATGTCGAAATTTGGTCTATCAGTTACTAACTTCAGTATACATTTTTATTTGTTCTGAAAAAAAACACAGGGATGAATTGATTATTTGTTGTAAAGTAATTGTTAAATCGGTGCTTCAGACGATGGAAACCAAACTTATCAGCATTTAA